CTCAGTGATCTCATTTAGAGGAAGAAGTTCAGAAAAGTTGTGGTCAATTTGATATTGGCACAACATCCAAGTGCATGACTGTTTTTACAGTAATTTGTTTTTATTGTAGTTTACAAAAGTATCAAACTGTTCAAATTGGAAAATAATCAATTAGAAAAAAAAAAAAAAAACCTCATCTTACAAAACAATTTGAAACATACTGGCCCAGGACAGTTACTGGAACTTAGTAATAGGTCATAATTATTTTTTAATAAATAAAGAGAAGAACAAATGCTGAAAGAATAAACGTTCACATAGTAGAATTGAGGATCAAGTCTGTATACATTCCTGTTGATCCTATTAAATAATGTAACTGGGTGGATTAGTGGCAAAGTGGTTTAAGTGCTATGCACTTCCTGGGTATGCTGCATTTCTCTCTGTGTGAGCAAAGAGTCAGTGCACAGGGTCCAGCTGGGAACAATTCCCACCCTCTGGCTAACGGGGCTGGAGACAGCCGTGTCCAAGCCCCACATGTACAGACTCTCTGCATGGCTGCTCTGAGCAGAGCTTGGGACTGGACGTTTTAGATCAATTCCCAGCCCCTCACCCACCCAGGGTCCCTCCAGAACAGTGAAGTTAGTCTAACTGCAAGTTAGGAGACAAATCTGCTGGAGGTTGCATGTGTTCTGCTTTTAAAGGTCACAGCCAGTGTGGTGATCCCCACCTGTAAGCCTAGTTCTCAGGAGGCTGAAGCAGGAAGAGTACCACCACTTGGATGCCAGCCTGGACTACACAGTAAGAGCTTCAATATACATACTTACCACAGTGCTTTTCTTTGGCCTACCAATAAAACAATGAAATAATTGGTTATTTAAAAACACAGATATAATTTGCCAAAATGTCTTTAAAAAGATGCTTCCTTGTTTCTGTAACTGATAATACCAATTTTTTTATTTTTTATTTTTGTCAATTCATTGTTGTTGCTTTCTAAGATCAGGGAAATTTGACTCAGTTGTAATGTTTTTTCCTGCCTAAACTTTCTTCCCTTTCCCCCTTGTGGTGGATTGATAACTGGTGGTCAACTTGTAATACCAACTGAACTGAATCAGCGTGGGGCTGAGGATTGTTGCCAAGATAAAAGGGAGAACTGGAGAGAAGAGTTTGGAGTGTTGCTGGTTCTCTGTGTTGTGGATGGTTCTCTTGTTGCTGTTGGCTCTTCTGGAGGAGCTTGTTGAGCTGCTTTCCTGATAGGATGTCAGCTGTTCTCATCACTGAAAGAGCTCAGGACCCTGCTGTCGCTGAGAATGGCTGTGGTTCACTTTGGGGCCGCTGATCTTTACCATGTCCTGGCTCCAGAGGGGAAGATGGTGTGCAGTTCAATCTCCAGGACAAGCTTGTCATGCTGGCTTCCTGATATGAACTCACCTGTTACTATCATTGGAGGAGCTTGGGACTCACTGTCACTGAAGATCGCTGTGGTACCTTTCAGGGGAGCCTGAGTCCTTATTTTGAGCATCACTTCTTGGTTCCAGTACAGAACCTCAGCTTGGTGGCATAGATCCTTCATTCTGCTGGCACAGACTTTCTAGCTTCCACCACTGACCCTGGGGCCTTCCTAGCATAGAGTTGTGAAACAGACTTGCATGAGTCATTGCTGTGGACTCTAGGCCTCCAGCTGGACTCATGGGGGGGCATTGTCATGGGTTCTGGGTCTTCAACTGGGCTCATGCAGGAGGTTGTCATGGGATTCAGACTCTCAGTTGGATTCTTTGGATCTTAGTTTGTGGACATATTTCCTGCATTTTTTCTTTCTTTTGTATTTGACTCTTTGAGTGACGATTATAAAATACTTCTATAAATTACATGTCCTGTCATATAATTATTTTCCTTGCAACTCTTGACTACAACACTCCCCTACCCATAACATCAGCAACAAAATGATAGCGCTTGGATTATCGTAATCTATTCCACTAGTACATATCTATTTGGGGGTGGCTAAGAGACAATTTATTTTGTTCTAGGATTATTAAAAATACACTTAAAATGCTTATTCAAGTAGAATTTTATTCCATTCTTCTTTCAATTATATTTCATCACAGTTTTGGAGACTCAAGTATTCAAAATCCCATCCGGGGATTTAGCTCAGGGGCACAAGTACCTGCCTGGCATGCACAAGATGGTGAGTTTGATCCCTGGCACAAAAAAAAATTAGAATTAAAAAATCTAAGCCTTTTTAAATTAGAATTTAAAAATCTATAGCTCAGTTGTAGATCCTAGGCAAGTGTAAAGTCCTGGGTCCCATCCTCACCAAGAATCCTTGGGAAGTAGCCCAGCAGCAGAGCAGTTACCTAACATGCACGAAGCTCTGGTTTCAATCACCAAGACTATAAAACTAAATAGAGAAAAAGAACCTAGCCTAAATTATGAGGGAAATCTATACCTGTGTATCCATGTTGCCAGAGAGTTTACAATCTACATGAAAATAACTAAAATACAAAGTATGATGAAGTACAGAAGAGCATGAACAAAGTCACGAAGGAGAGAGAGAACATTCCAGGCATATTAGGGAATAGAGGATAGCTTAGGGAGTCTGAAATATGGAAAGAGAAAGAGACATCGGTAGAAAATATTGAGAAAGGAAGATTAGGACCAGAAGAGAGAAAGCCTTGATTGTCATGTGTAGAGGCTTAGCGTGGGTGCTGGGGGTGGAGACGAGGAATTGCTTGTGCTCAGGTTATGCTTTGCAAAAGCTCCTTAGGCTCCTGTGTACAACAGAAGTTGAAAGAAAAAAAGGATGAAGGGGCACTTAGGATGCTGTTCAAGTCACCTGTAGAAAAATGGATGCATCCTGAGATCCTAATGTTAGCTGATATAAATCAGACACACAGGCTTACCTATCACATGGTTTCTCTTACACAAGAAACCCAGCATATAAATAAAGAGCAAGACAAAAGATGGGTAACAGAAAGCAGAGTGATGTATCTTCCTCAAATGGAAAGGGGACCAAGAGATAGAGGAAGGGAAAGGGGTGAAAAGAGGAATTACAATGTGTGGTGTACATGTACCAACGCCACACAAGAAATGTAAACATTGTGTACTGCAGAAGTGCACTCAAAATCAATGAATAAATAAAATGAGTTCACAACTAAAAAGGAAAAGAACATAAGGAAAAGTAACCATCACAGTGATAGTAAAAAATCGCTTCAAATGTAACGGGCAGTTGTGAAAGAAAAGTGAATATGAGCCATTTGTGTAAAGTCCTTAATAAGCTTAACATTAGAGGATATTTTCCTAAGGCCTGGAAAGATGATTTTAATCTAGCAAGTCTCTTCCCTCTTTCATAGCTGTTAATATAAAATGTAGTATATTTTTTATTCCCTTCAAATTATTCCACCAGAACTTAGTGTCGTACAGTAAAAACTTTATCTCCTGACCTACTACTTGCAGATTTGTATAGTTTTATCAATACAGTACCCACCACAGTCACTAACATGTGATGAAGTCTTTCCGTGAATCAGGCACTATACCGTGCCTTTCACTGATACTGGCACATTGAATCCTCCACACAATCCTCAGTGTATATGTGTAGGTACGGAGGCAAAGTGTTACCTCTCCTGATTAACACTGTCTAGAGGAGCACAGATTTGAATTCAGGCAGGCCTGACTGCAGAACCTGTTCCTTTAGCTACTCAGCTGTACTTCATTTTTCTTCTCAGGAATTACATGTGTGTTAAAGCAGACTGCCACAAAAAACAAAGACCACATGAGATAAACAGCAAGATGATAAATCAAAACATGCCAATAATCACATTAAATGTAAATGTGCTAAAACCCAAATTGAAAGATAGAGATGGCCTATTTGGATAGATAAAAATATCAAGCAAATTCTTGCATAATGGATTCTCCCCTGCCACACTGTCTTCCGCTAAATCCTTCTCTTAAATTGTTACTACCACTACCTCACTGTGGTCTTACTCCTCAACACTGTCTGGTTATTTTTGGCATGGTGCTTTTGGTAGGTCTATCACTCACTGCACATCACTGTAAAAGGGTCTGCTATAATTGATTCATCCTCTTGTTTCTCTAAGAGTTTAAATTCCATGTGGGCTGGACATCATAACATATTTACTCTGTATTTCCCACTTCATATTGTACTACTTTGTCATAGAAACAGACTAAGAAGAAATGTGGGGAGACTTGAGAAATGACTTGGTCTTTCAGAAAAATGAATGGTTTTGTCATTGAGTATAATATCAATACCTTAAATTGAAGGGTTTATATTCTTGGGAAAATCCACCTGATCCTAGTCTCCTCTGGTTTATGAATATTTTTATAATCAGTTTTTTTATTTCATCCTTCAGAAGTACGGATAATTATAATCATCTACAAGCCTGAAACAGATTTCTATCATACTCAGTAGTGAGGAATTTAGAATTTAGATCAGAAACACCCATTTCCCAAGGCATGTGACAAGGTAACTAACTATCTTCTTATTGAAAGAATGGCCTCGGGCTGGGGGTTTAGCTCAGTGGCATAAGCACCTACCTGGCAAGTGTGGGGTTGTGAGTTTGATCCCCAGTACCAAAAAAAAAAAAAAAAAAAAAAAAGAATGGCCTCACTGCCCAAAACACAGAACTATCTTCCAAATTCATATGCTTCTCCAAGGCTAAGATTTTGGCCTTGAGCAATCTGCTCCTCCAAATCTTTTTTACTTTTCCTTTAACAAAATAAAGTTTTAGAAGTTTCCTAATTTGAGGTTGTTACAAAAGGGAAAAGTAGGGACACTGGTATTCATTATCTTCCCTCAGAAATGTAAATTTAAGAGGCACGAGCAAGCAGTAACTTCACCTTTAATGCAAATTTGCTTCCAGTCTTTGTGGCTTCCCAAACCCAAACTTTCTGCTAACATTATATTTCATTGACTTCTGCCTTATGGACAGTCCTACACAAAGAACTCGCTAAAAAAGTACACAAACATGCAGATGGTCGAAGCAATGTTCAATTCAACTCATCCTCCTTACCAGGTTTACAAGGGGCTTCCCAGGGCCTCAGTCCTCGGAGATCTGGGGTAGCATGAACTGTCTGAAGAGACCATGCATCAGTCCCTGCAAGTGGGTGCTTAAAAAGAACCAGTAAGAAAAACATTATTTTTATCCTTTGATGAAGCAGCCTTAAATCATGGCTCCATTAAACTGAAAGGGCCCCTAAGCCCTCACTGTGAGGGGAAGAGGCTAAGTGTACTGGTCCATTTATATGCGCCCCATGTCTTCACCCAGAATTAAGTGAAGGTTCCTTCCTAAGGGCAATTAAAAGCAAAGTCTCAATACCTTTTGCTTCATTCATTTATTTCTTCCTCTGCACAAGTTAACCTAGCCCCTTCCTAAATTAATTACAGTCCCGAACAGAAAGACAGCCATATGCTGATTTTTACCTTTACTTAATTTTGATCAAGAAAGAAACAAGAAAACCTATAGGAAGGTATTAATCTACTTAACATTTCTAAGTACATCATCCAAAGGATTTTGTTTTTTTAATCTTACATATGCTCAGCAGAGTTACTGGCAAAAACTGTACATTTTCTTCATTTCATCCTTTCAACATCAAATAGTAGGCAGCAAAAATTGGATCAGACTTCAAAGCCTGCTGTGGGCTCCAAGTCACAGAGAGACGCCTCCATTTCACATATTGAATTCGAGCAGGATATCAAAGTGCTACCAAAGAACCTCGGGTCCTTACTCAGAAAGAGGCTCTACCATCTGCGGAGTGGAGTGCTCACACAGATCACCTCAGGGAGCAGCTAGCATTTATTCTCAGCAGCAAATTTCCAGGCTTTTGATTCTCCTCTTCACTGTACCTCCCTGGCTCTCTACTGAACCACAGTTCTTTAGCAGGCTGAGCTTTTGTCTCAAAGACTTCAAAATATCACTAACAGGTTCGTGTTTGGATGGCCCAGCCAGGCAGCCACAGACAGGCTTCGTGGCATGACTCGGACGGTTCTGAATGCAGAGCTTGTGGGTTCTTTGAAATAAGATGTCTGGTTACCTTATTTGCATGTCCTGCGAAGACATCACACCCTCTTGGAGAACTCTGGGCTTGTAAATGCCTAAAAAAGTAATGATAATTTTTAAAAGGCTTTAAAATGATATGATATGATATGATATGATATGATATAAACAAAAGCTTTATTTTGGATTGTTTTCCTTTAAAGAAGTATCAATATATACCCAGCTTTTTTGTTTCCAAGCAGTGCTTGGTTTCAAGGCCACTATCACTGTAAACAAATGCATATCCTGGTCACTGTGCTCCTCTGTGTTACAACACATCCACAGTGTGCCTGAGCTCCTAGGTCCCAGCAAACTGACTCTGCAAAGTTGTGGGATTGAGTTTGGGGGGCTGGGCATCATCAGACCTCCAAAACCTTTCCCGAGAAGACAGGCAAGTTAACAATGAGACTGCACAGCCTAGCCCAGCACATTCATAGCTTCATTACTCAAGAATTTAAAATGAGTTCTGTAGTCAAATGCGTGGGAATGCCATGAGGTACATAGCTTGAGAGGATTCCTAACTTCAGGAGTACACTCTTAACAATCACAAGATACATTTATGGAACTCTCACGTGGGAACACGAGCTGACACAGGGTGTTCTAAAGTCATCAGACCATGAAATTTAAAGTGATAAGCAATTACCATCTGGTGAAATATTAATTTTCCATGGAACAAAGTTTGGAAAAATCAATTGTGCTTGATCAAACATGTAATTATAACACACAATAAAAATAACAGCTTCTTTGATGATGCCTTTCAGATGGAGCCCAGCAGAGAGGAAAGGAAAAGGTGAGCTGCTTCGATGTCCGTGGCCACACATGCATGCACACATGCACATGTACATGTGCCTGCAAACCACACACACGTGCACATACTACACATAGCCACACTCACATATATACAAGAAAAGAAAAACCATGTGACTAGATAATTACTCTGTAGTATCCTGCATTCTCACCTTTCTCATGTATACAAAGAAGCAATTAAGTTATACCTGAATTGCCTTCTAGTCCTACATTGATTATCTTATTTTTTACTTAAACTGACAAATTCATTTCACTATTTTTGTTGTTATTGTTGTTGTTGTTGTTGTTACTGGGGATTGAACTCATGACATTCCTTTGCCAACCTAGTGCTTGTGCTGCTGAGCTTTAGCTGATGCTTAGAGACTGAGGAACATCTCTGGGGGCATCACAGCTCATTTAACTATTTGTAAGCCACTTGTGGATATTATCTTCAAAATGTATCTATGTATAATAGATTATAAGCAATATTCCTATTAAACTATCACATCAATACCTGGGAGGAAAGGATTATAATAAGACATTTAATTGAGTGCATATTTATCATGTCTCCCACAATGGAAAGTAAGCTCTATGAATCAGGGGCTGAGATTGCTTTATTTCACATTCTGTATCAGCATCTCGCCAAATGCCTCATACTGAATAAGTGCTCAATAAATATTAGACAATTTCAGTGGACCCCCAAGATATGAGGTTATCTATATGACTATTCTTAAAATTAAAATTAATCACCTGGTAGTAATATAGCACTTCATATTTTTTAAAAATGCTTTTAAGTATGTTGTGAGAGCCTCATATCATTTGAGCCACTACATAGATGAAGAAACTGAGGTTCAGACGGGTTAAGGAATTTTCCCAGGTACCATGACAAATACCAGGTAGAGGTAAGAAATTGATCCATGTTCTTCTGGTTCCACATCCTCTGAACTGTGATGCCCCCAGAGATGTTCCTCAATCTCTAAGCATCAGTCCAAGGGACTCACTTCTGTCCAGCCTAAACAAGTCCCAACGGCTATAGGACACTTATAGATTAGGTGCATTCCAAGCTGTACTGAGAGACCTGGTATCTTAGTTACTTTTCTCTCACTTCTGGGACAAAATATATAAAGTTCAGAATTAAGGAAGGAAAGCTTTATTTAGCTTTCAGTTTGTAGAAGTTTAAGTATGTAATCAGCTGTTGCCAAGACAGGGTGGCACATAGCAGAAGGCAACAGTTCTTGACAATGAAAGACAGCAAAAGCAACAAGAGCAAAAGGGGAGGACAGAAAGAGCAAGCCTCTTTTCCTTCCTTATATTTATGCAGGCTGTCTGCCTCAGGATGGGTGTAGCAGTCACATCCATAATCCCAGCATTGGGCTAAGAATCAATCAAACTCTAGAAGCCTGCACCCATGATGGCATGAGGCTTTGAGGGGACATCTAGACACAAACCATAACATCCGGCAAACTTTGGGGGAAAACCAAGGAAGAGACTTTGGCTATTCATTTACTACCCACTCTGCAAATCCTGCCTTTTCTTTCCCTTAAATTTGAACCTTTTGAGTACTCTACTTTATTTTTTTGAGATAGCGTCTCGCTCTGCAGTTCAGGCTGGCCTTGAGTTCAATTTATAGCCCAGGCTGGTCTCGAATTTGCAACCATCCTCCCACCTCCGCCTCCTGAATGCTGGGATTACAGACGTGAGCTACCACGTCCTGAGTACTCTACTTTAAGACCCAAGGATGCCTTCTAACTCTTCCTGTGGAATGGCACCCACCTGTCTCTCTCATTTAAGACTTTGAAAGGATCTGCGGCAGCTCAGTACAATGTTTATATGTGTTTCTTCGTTTGAAAAGGCAAGCTGTACTATGGTGGTAAGGGAATAGTGCCCATAGGCAAATAGGTTGGACAATATTTTGTTACACAAAGTTAAGCAGAATTCTTTCCTGAGAAGCTTTCCAGAATCATGATATCAATAAAACTCCAAGAAAGGAAAAGAATGGGGAACCATTGCTAGACATTAACAGCTGCCCCTTTTCCTGTGGAGAACCCTGAAGGACTCTTGGTTCTTAGAACACAACTTGGGAAACACTGACCTGAGAAGTTCTTTTCACAACAAATTTCAATTTGCTTTTTAAAAAATAGTACAAGTCAACTTTCATGGAAAATCTAACTATCTCAAATTCCTTTTCAGTGATTTCATTAGGCTCTTCCACCATGCACACATAAACAAGAAGGTTAGCAAGTGGATAATGCTCTGCAATCCATCACCAACCAAACAGGAAAAGCATCACAATGAAAAGAGCATAAAGTATATGCAAACTTATTCTATGTAATATAACCAAAAGGATATGGATTGATTCTGGATTTATTTTATTGTTGTTTTGCTTGTTTGGTGGGGGCAGTCTACCATTAAGCTGCCTTCCCAACCTCTCCTCTGCCCCCCACCCCACTTCTCCCTTTTTGAGACAAGGTCTCGTTAAAGTTTTGATCTTGTGGGACTTTATCTTACAGTCCTGTTGCTTCACCCACTGAAAGTACTAGGATTACAGGTGTGCACCACCGTACCCAGCTAGTGGATTCTGTTTTTATGCTCATTTTTACAGATGAGGGAGTTAAGGATCAAGAAGATTATGACTTGCCTCATACCATAACTGGTAAGTAGTATAGCATAAGTCCTACTCACTCTGGAAAAAGAAATACTAAGGGGAAATTATGGATTCAGGTAAGGATTTTCAATTGCTGATAAGACCATTAGACAAATGACTGATGGAGACCAAGACCATATGGTGCCAAAGTTCTACCATACAGATGCGTCTTTTCAGGGCACAAGAAGAACAATGCACATGGGATACATCAGAAGGTCACCATTTTATTCCAGTGTGAATCTCAGTACCACTAATGCCAAGACAATATTGTCTCAGGAGGTGAGACACCATGAAGTGGTCAACACTATTCAGTATGCGTTTTTTTCCCCTTTCAGTCAAAACATTTAACCTGGATCTAATTGAAACTTTAAATCTATCTTGCAGTTTATACAAAACATGGAGCACAGAAGGACACAAGGAAGCAAGCATACAAACACAGAAAAGCAGCCAGTTTAGGGAGTATTCTGCCCAATCTCTTAAAAAATAAGTGTCATGAAAACCTGGACTAGGATACAGTAATTTTACATAAATTAACACTCACAGTAGATCCTTGCTTAGACAAAGAAGTACAAAGGATTCCTAGGATAATGGGGACAATTTGACCATATATTAATATTAGAAAAAAATTAGGACATTATTCATTATTAAATTGTGATACTATTTTTCAACCTGCTGGAAATTTAAAAATAAGTGTCCTCAGACTATATTAGGAATATGCTAAGGGGCCAAAGCAGTGAATCTGGTTATCAAAGGGTGGTGAACGGGACCTAGTTCCAGAACTCGCTGGTCTCTCAGAAGCAGAACTAACATCCCAAGCAGATGCAGGGCTCAGCTGCTCCACTCAAGTCTCTGTGCTCAACTGTGCACTGTAGGGGAAAAAGAAACTCTCACTGTTAGAAGCCTTCTGCTGGGCATCGGCCCTGAAAAAGCCCCCAAAGAAAACTCACATTTAATTCTCTCTTAAACCCCAAACCCCTTGTGACTGGATGACGAGCCGGGAGGAAGCTGGCTCCTGAGAAGCTGGCTGCTGGGAAGGTTCAACCTCTTGCCTCTTCCACAGCAAAGATCACGAGGCCAGCTGGCTCTGTCACGCCATGCTGGCGACATTAGGTGAAGCCACCATGGTCCAGGGACTAGAATTCAGTTTTGCGGGCTCTAAAATTAAATATTTCCATTCATTGAAGGATGATGATTTTGAGGGAAGCAGATCTGTACTAAGCAAACACAGAAGAGTCATACTGTACAAGTAGAATGCCAGCATGTGATTCTGCAAGGAGTAGTGTGCTCTGGATTGTACTTGTTCCCTTACTGATTGGTTTTGATATACTTGGGAGAGCGCATTACAGAATAGATTTAGACCCTTCGCGGATCTATCTGATCTGTCAGAGTTTTCTAGTATCTGGCTTTTTCCCACTTTGGAGTTAGATTCAGTAACTTTTTTCCTAGGTGAGAGTGGAGGCAAACCAGCTGCCTGCTGATTCTCCATTTTCTTAGCTCCCTTAAATTACATCTTCTGTGTACTTTTTATTAATTTTAAGCTTCTTAAGATTGTCTTATCTTTTATCAGTTACAATGGCTTTTAGATGAACTGAGAAATCCATTAGTGTTTCACACTTGAAAGCATATTCT